TGGTACATGTGTATAGAGTACATGTATATATATATATATATATATATATATATATATATATATATATATATATATATATATATATATATATATATATGTATATATATAAAATGGAGGTTATGCGCTTCACCGCCGCTTGAACGAAACTCGAGTTCATTTCTGTGCGGAGGAGAGCTTTTATTCAGTGTCTGGCTGTCTTTCAACTGGGATGTTGTTTCCCTTTCAATTTGGATAGGTTTTGATAGGCAGGATCGAAGCCTGTCTCCTAAATGATCTAAATTGTGTTGGCCGGAGGTGGGGGTGGGGGTGTTCCTCAATACACAAAGCAAGGATGTCCTTTAGTTACCGTACAAACACACACACACACACACACACACACACACACACACACACACACACACACACACACACACACACACACACACACGTGATTCAATTTACAGCATGTTTTTGCCTTTCAAGATTGATCAAAGCAAACGCAGTGTTTTCTAATCAACAAGTTAAGCATTTTATTATCATATTATATTCTGTAGCTATTGAGATTCATTATATCATGAAAGAACATAATATGTACGTGTATAATACGGTACATGATAGATTATGTGAAACAAGGTGTTCAATTTCTTTCTACAACCAAGGCAACAACAATTATGGTTCATGTGGTAAGCATGTTCATATAAAATGTACCGTGCCCTGTGAGTGTGAGTCCTATTGCACGAAAATAAACCCAAAACATACTGGTATTTATTATATTATATTCCTGTTGTGAATAAACAGTATTTACAACACACACACACACACACACACACACACACACACACACACACACACACACACCACACACAAACATACTCACAAACACACACAGACACACACACAAACGCTCGCTCACATCACATATCATGATTTTATAGTATGTATCAAAAGAGGTAGATCTAAATGTATTGTCTTGAATAGACCCATAAAGGGTTCTTATAACATCTGACATTTAAGGTGACGTGCCGTATAACTATTAAAAATAATAATTGGATCATGTATATAAAAGCGTAATATGGTATTGCACATAACTGTTCTTGTGATCTACCCTAAACCTGTGAGAGTGTAGTGTCCCGTCTGACCACAGCTCTCACTCCACCACCGGCCTGACTCCAAGCGTAGTCGTATCTCCTGATGTCTTTCTTCACACTGGACGCTTGAGATTTTCCCTCAAAGAGACAGTGTCTCACCATCACTCGACATCCCTGGCCCAGTGCATTGTCCACTTGGCTTCTGCACCACGAGCTGAGCAAGTAACGTTGCCATTTTTGAGTGGACATACACCGAGAGGAGAAACGAGAGAACATGACGTGTCGTCTTTTGTTGGACGTCTCCACAGCAACTTCAAAGAGTCTCAAACCAGAACTGTCCTGTCCAGACCTCGGAGCGAGTGACGTCAGTCTGTATCCTGGTCTCCCGAAACGTTTGACCCAATCGCCTTTGACCATTTTGGTGTCTGCGACATACGGCACAAACGCGGTGACCCAGGGGGTCCAGGTCATAGAGCGAAGACAAAAGTTGGTTTCTGGAACATTCTCTCTCTTGAGACGAGGAAGATTCTTTAGTTTAAATTTGTCCAGTCCCGTAGGTGGTTCTGCTTTGTTTACCCCTGTTTTCTTGGATGTCTTTGGCTTCACCAGACGCATTGCTTTAGGAGCTTTTGGAGCATGGATGCTGCTTTTCTTGGTGAGTTTCTCCATACTGGACCCGGCTCTCTTCAACGTCACTGGCTTCGGTACTCCTGCCAGTTTGACAGAAGGAGCCGGAACTGACGGTCCTGCCGTTGATGTTCCTTCAGCCTCATCCCTCAAAGATTTAAAAATAGCATCAACATCCGGGCCGATGACACCAGCACGTTCCCTCGCCTCCGTCTCGTAGTTGGCAAACTTGGCCGTGTCGTTCCCTTCTCTGTAGCACACCGCCATCATGACGTCAAAAATCCCTCCCATGTCCTCCAGCTGTAGGTGTTTCCCATCAGTGGCAGCGGAGATCGTCTTGTAGAAAGGCGAAGCGTCACGGTTATTCCCACACTGTACACCGTACACGGTGACGTTCCATGACGCCAGCTCTCTGATCTCCTCACGCCAGTCGATGTTGTCTGTGTTGAGGTGATAATCTGCCTCGTGGGGGACGTCGTCGCCGATGAGGACGATAGCACGACGAGAGCCGGGAGTCCACGAGAGCTCCGTCCTCGCCTGCCTCAACACCAGCTCGTAACACTCTGGGGCATCCCCGCCTCCGGTACGCTCCACATTGGAGACAAACGCACACAGTTTTGCTACGTCACTGCTGAAGTCTTCCCATTTTGTGACGTAGGTTTGATGATCGCAGTAATCGCCATGAGCGAACACAGCTATCCTGATGGCGGGTATGTCCGCCTGTAGTCTTTGGATCATGTCCTGTAGTCGGCCACGGACTTGGTCTAAATAGCCGTACATGGAGCCGGTGGTGTCAAAGGAGAACACAATCTCCAGGGGTCCACAGGGTGGCATTGGTGCATCAACAACAGTAGACATTTTTCGTAGATCTGTTGTTAGCTGTCAAAATATTGCTACTGTAGTTCAGTATTATAATTACTACTTCACGGTTCAGTTAATAATAATATCGACTTTCAGCTAGAAGTTGGTGAAGAACTTTACATTCGTTATAATGTGTAGCGGAACAGTGTCTTTTTTCACGTCTCCTTTTTCTCAGATAAGTGTGACTGTACTTTCTCAGACTGACCAGCATTGATGGCGAGAATGTTTTATACTGGAGAAGTGAGTTCCGCGCAGCTGTTAACCAAAACAATCCGCGAAGCCTTGTTCCTATTTTAAGACATCAGGTATTTGTTTCCGCGAAGCCAGAAATGTAGGTCAACACACTGACCTGACGAACTGCACTTCCTGGATTCAAAGCGGAACGATTAATAAACTGTTTTTGTTTAGTATTTTTTTGCTCTATCTATCTATCTATCTATCTATCTATCTATCTATCTATCTATCTATCTATCTATCTATCTATCTATCTATCTATCTATCTATCTATCTATCTAGTAATTACCCCCCCCCCCCCGTTCGAAAACTCATTCACTTTTCACTACCGGGTATTCCCTATACTGTAACTTGTTTTTGGTCTCCATCACACACTTTGAAAGCAACGAAATAACCGACGAAACAATGTCTGAACCTCGCCTCACTAAAAAACAGTAGTTAATGCCTTGATGTTTATCTTTTGTTTGAGTAATGTTGCATAATATGTTGAAGAGCGGCAAACACGGATGGAAAAAGGAAGACGCGGGTGAACTCTAGCTCAAGAGCTTATGATCCCTAGAAGAGTTTGTGCATCACAAAAATTTGTGCCTGGCATATTAAAATAAGTAATATATTGTCGTGCTGCTCTTTTTTTAAAAACACCATTAAGTTTCATTATAATACAAAAGACAGCAACGACGGGCGAGAGGGGCCAAAAGTAGCGCTGTAGTTATTTTTTGGGAGAGATCTCCCCCCTTCTGTCATGTGACGTGTCTTTTGCTTGTTTCAATTTATTTCAGTGTTTTGTGAGTTTACATTTGTAACGGGCTAATGATTCTTATTCTCGGTCACGAAGCGTCAGTCAAGAAAGATTCATCTGAGTCTGAGTGAACGGTCGACTTCCTTATCTCTGTGCTGTCAAAAAAACCTTTGCGGCACCGAGCAATAAGTCTTTTTTTTCCCAAATACTAAGCCTGTTAAAACTATAAGCCTGTACTTACTTTTGAGAGAGTTAACACTGTGACAATACGGCCCGCCACAGTTTACTTATTTCTCTTTCTCATTAGCATGTAGCTCCCCCGCCCCTTTCCCACACGCGCACGCACACACGCACACACACACACACACACACACACACACACACA